TTGCTGAGGAATACAGCAGTTCCCCTTATCTTACTGAAACAGCTTTGTGGCGCCAATGGCAAACACAAATACTCCAAAATATTGACCTTAGCTCGAGAACCCAATTTGAAACACAAGTACGTGTAAGCAGTACAAGAAATACATACAAGATGTTGGAGTATAATCTACACCGCGACGATATCATTATTATTCAAGGCAAGGAGAGAACTGATAAGGCTGAACTATGTCCCATACGCACAAACAACTAATATTTACTGCACCCTATGCAATATGTACGAAAAAGAAGACATCATTCGTCTCATGGGACGCTGCCCTATCCTATGTGAAATTAGATGGTTTCACTGGGGCAAAACCAGTGTGGCGAGTGATTTCGACGTGTAATTTTTAACGTACCACTTCTCTTATATTATGTATATCTGTTATTAGTAATAATATACTTTTTTCTTTTCGTTTTTTATTATTATTTTTATATATATTATGTATCTAATTCTCATATCCTTTTTTACGGTTTTTGAATTTTAAATTTCTTCATCATTATAGCATTATATTAGTATTGCACTATGTTCAAATCGCATTTAAATTTTAATTAAGACAGACAACTTAACCTTTATGTGCTCGGGATATTTTTCTTACGTTGCCGGTCGGAAGTCTACATTTGTAGCAAGTAAGTATGTTATGAAGAAATCTAGACCAACATATTAAAAAAACACTTTTAGGCAGATTATTTTACTTTTACAGACAATTGTACATATTTATTATGAAAATTATTATACAAAATTTGGGTGAAAAGGTTTTAAGTAGCTTTTGAGGAACAACATTCACTCAAAGAATATGTGACTGTTTGTACGTCACACACTGGTTTTTATGCACCAACTGCAAATATTTCGCGTAGTTTTTCTCTTTCAAATGTTACTCTCTTCCACAATAGTTGCCTGATTTGCATTTGAGTTCTTTCCAGTACAAACCTCACTATTGAGAGGATAAAACTACTTCGCATCACAAGCGAATCAAACTTTTTGATGGAATATAATGGGTAAATCTAGTCTATCACGATATGTAAATAGATGCTTATTTACTGTTACTTCTCCGGAAGATTGGTATTACATACGGAGATGGCTATTCATCTCAGCCTACAATTCAGAGATGAGAGCAGCCTAGTCAATAACAAGTCAGCTCTAGTACGGTGAATGTCAAACCGAATAAAATGTAAAATTTCTTTGAAATGGGTTTCTACATTGTTGCACGGTAATAACAAACTGCTTCCTTACTCCACAACATATTCGTATCCTCGTCGCTTGATTTGGTTACACCACCTAGCACTAGAAGCTCAATTAACGATTTTGATTTCATGCCGGTTACAGTATTCAACATTCTCTCCTTTGCATTAGGGTTTTTTTCATTCCCTATTTGAAAAGTTTTCCTGGCTTTTTAGTTTGTTCCTTTCAAAATTTATTCAAGTATCGAATACGGTGTACAAAATTAGACCTTTAGTCGCTCGAATTGGAGCAACAGTAGTGTCATGAAACTCATTGTGAGCAGTAGTGCGACCTACTTGATTAGGTATAGTTTTGAACCAGACAATATCATCTCTTGACACAAATGTATCAAGATGCTGCACAACGACCCATGTCTCTTTGACATTCATCACATAATCGAAATTTATTTCGAATAATACACCTTATTCTTGCTCATATTTCTGAATCACCTTCTTCACCAAGTATCATTTCATTCTCGGCGTCAGATTCTTTAGAATAGAAACCAATCGCAACACTTACAGCACCAACAAAAACATTGCTTGAGCTGGAACTTGTATGATGGTCAGTATGAACTGCGCTTCCTAATCCTCCTATTGTTGCGATCTAAACCATAAAATCATGCATATAAGCACAAATATGCAGCACAAGTATGTACAAGTAAACAGAGAATAAAATAAATTACAAAGGAACATGTTTCTGCACGTTGGAAATAAAAAATATTGAGTTACATAGGTATTTAATATGAATTTTCATACAAATTATATGGTGACTACAAATGTAGACTACCGGCCAGGAGATGATCATTTTGAAAAGTTGGGTCTAGGGCTTTAATAAATTGTTGTTTTGATGCTGTTAAGTTTAAAATTAACTTAAAATTGATTTTTAGGAAACTACTAAAAATCTCGCACCCTGTCGTTGTGCAAAATTCGTTTTTATAAGACTTTTTCTCACAAAATGCTACAAATGTAGACTACCGAGCACATAAAGGTTAATAGGTATTGTCTCAAATAATCTAATTATGTTAATCTATCTATCTATTTTATGTACTCTTTGTTAGGATCATTGTATTATAAAAGCATATCTGTAATAGCGATAAATTAATAAACCTTTACTTACTTACTTATTTGTTTAAGATCAAATAAAGCAGAAAAGCTTTTTTATAAATAAAATTATGTATCTCAGATTTATTCCAAGTCTTAACACCAATACATTTATATTTATTAGTTTATATTTATATAATATTTCTATATATCATACCTATATATATTTTTTAATTTTTTATTTTACTTTGACAGCTCTACGCATTTTACTATATATCAATTAGTTAATCATTGATGTTAATTAACACAATGCCATACTTATATGTACATATGGTAATGAATATTATTTCGATCGTCGCATGGACCACTCATTTATTCAATTAGTATTAATAAAAAAAATTAAAACAAATATAAACATTAATTAAATCAGTACATTGATGTTGAACATTTATGAGGTATATTTTTATTATTTGGTTAAGTTACAAATATCCTTAAAGAAAAGCATGCTTTACTAATAAATAAGTGTGGATTTAAAAATTGATATGTAATCCAAAATAATTGGTGCTAAAATACTTTATTAACAATAATTAAAAAATGTATACACAACGCAGTAGTAGGTTTGTTTAGTTATTGTATCTCACATAATTTAATCAAAGTTCAAGAAAAATACGAGCTTCGTTGGGTGCTAAGACATTTCATGAAAATAAGTCAATGAATCTACAGAGACCGTCATTAATATGGTTAGAAAATAAAAATTAGACATATTAATACTTACATATAAGCATATTGTTGTGATGTGAAGTATAACATGCCAAATTTAAGATATTATAGATAAACAATATTAATTTATAGATCATTTGCGTTATCATCCTGACTTGTAATTTTACAATTTTTTTTTTCATATGTAATTAATAAATAATATACATCCACTTATTATAAATAATATAAATGAAAATAATAACATAAATTGAAGTCCAATAAAAAATTTAATAAAACTGTTTTTCTTAAAAGTTAAGCAAGAAAAACAAATCGACACACCATCTATTTGTCGATTTCAAAGTTGTTTTTGACACTACGGAGAGAAGCATTCTCTATGCCGCTATGTCTGAAATTGGTATTTCAGTTAAACTTATACGGCTATGGAAAATGTTGTTGAGCAACATCACCAGCTCTGTTGGAATCGGGAAGAACCTCTTCAAGCCGTTTGATACCAAACAAGGTTTCAGACAGAGTCACTCCTTGTCGAGTGACTACTGTAACCTAATGTTGGAAACGGTAATATCTCCAACAAATTTAAACCGTATTGGGACAATATTTTACAAAAGTGCGATGTTGCTTGCGTATGTCGATGATATTGATATCATTGGCCTGAACAGCGCGGATGCCGTTAGTGCGGCATTTTTCAATTTAGAAAAACAAGAGAAGCAAAACAAATTATTTTCTGTCAACAAACAAATCTCCTAAGCGTCTTAAGACCCAATCACTGTTGACAGTAATATAAGCTCGAAGTTGTGAAAAACTTTGTTTATTTGAGAAACAGCGTAAACATCAAGAATTATGTCAGCCTAGAGATTCACCGAAGAATCACTCTTGCCAACAGATGTTACTTCGGGCTAAGTAGGCAATTGAGAAATAAAGCTCTTTCTCGACAAACAAAAATCATTATCTACAAATCTCTTATTATGCTTGTTCTGCTGTGTGGTGTAGAAGTTTGAACAATTACCAACAGTGATGGAAAGGCGTTAGGAGCATTCGAGAGAAAAATTTTTCGGAAGATCTATGGATGGAATTGGATGGAACGATGAGCTGTATGAGCTATATCGTGACATTGACATAGTTAAGCGCATAAAAATTCAGTGGCTTCGGTTGTTTGGGCATGTCGTGCGAATCGAAGAAAATGTTCCGGCTAGAACGCTGTTTGATTTGGTACAAGCAGGTGAGGCAGGTATTCCTCGTCACTTAGGCAAATCAGTGTTATTCAGCAAATTACTACAATTTTTGTGACACTCTGCATAACATGCATTTTCTTCAAAGCCCAAAAGAACCAATTTTGACAAGCCCATTACAGCCCATTACAGCCCATTACCATTACAAGCCCATTACCATTACTACCTAACATTGCCCTAAGAAAGATCCATTATAATACTATGTAATGTAATGATCATTGGAACGCTGCCTTAAGAATGATATACTGCGATTTCCCATCGTTGATTATAAAAATATTGCAGAATATAATATATTTGAAGAATGTAGTTATATTTCATTGTTAAAGAGGGAAATCTTAAATTTCCTCTTTAGTTATTGTAGCTAAGATTTTGTTATTAATATTTAAAACTAAGATAAAGTTTTTAAGAAAGATAAAAATTAATTATTAAGATAACTAAATCTAAAGAAGTTTATAATTGGAGGCCATAAGTAATGAATTTCTTATATGGTTAGACTTTAGAACAAATAAAATTATGACATGTAAAACTAGAAATTAAGGATGATCTTAAGATCATACATTAATGTGTCTAACAAAAAATGGCAAATTGCGAAAAAAAATTTACCAGATAAATGATATGAAAGTGAATAAAATTTTAAAAAAAACTAAATTATTAATTATTCATGCAAATCAAATTCATGCCAAGTAAACGATTTGAACGAAAACCAATTGCATTGCAAACAAAACAGATTTTAATTAAAAAATCTTTGAGATACTCACAGATGTAAAATATTTTGCTGTTTTGTGTCTCGACAAGCACACAAAAGTAGTGATTTTCTTTTATTTTCGTATGCAAATCGGTTTTGAATTCTGTTTACTATCTTTTTGCAGATTATTGCATAAATTTGCAATTTTAGTCAAGTGCGCGTGTCTATCACACGCAGTCAATTTAACTCAATTTATTTATTTCCAGTGCAAGATACGAACGATGAGACTTTGGCTAAGAAACATAAGCGACAATGGAGATCAGATCTGCTCTACATTTTTTCTTAGTGCTGGGTACATCAGGAGATGAGCGTATGGAAGTGCAGCAATAGTTTTAATCTTCCGGTGCAAGATGAATTTATGTAAATTAATAAAATTTATATATATTATTACAACTATGATATTTTATAATTTATTATATTTTTTTTAAATATATTATATTTTTATTTGAGAATTTAAATTTATTTAAAATATCTTATATATGCTATATACATAGTTATAAAAAATTAAACAAAATTATAATTAAATTAATTTAATAAAAGTAATTAAATAAAATAAATTTTGTGAGTGTATATCAAAAACGTATTTTAAGTTTATTTTTTTATAAATAAAAATTATTTTATCTGTAAAATTATTCATTCTTTAGATAATGTACTAGTTGTTCCATTTGTACAGAGCTATTGGGAGCAGACCGTACTACGTATGTGAAGTACTCTTATACTATCCTGCTCTACAGCGCTACTCTAATTCACTATCCTATCCAAACTCACATTTTCCGAATACTCTCGCGAACTTCTAACACTCCACGCGCTATTGCCATTTTTCAAACCCCAAGTTCTGTCAGATTGGGTAAGATTGATATTAACAGTGGTGTTAATCTGTGGTTTTTATTGTTAGTGTTTGGTTAGTTTTGACAATTTTAGGGAAAAATAAAACTTATATTTCTTTGTTTTCGTTTGCTATTGAAAATAATGGAAACCCACAACAGGATTGTAAAAAAATAAATGCATCCTAAAATGGACTGCACTACCTGGTATACTGAAGCGCATTAAAAAAAAAACAAATAAGAGAAGAGTATTACGGTTTGAGCAGCCCTGGTCTAAACGTCATTTATAGAAGTTCTGTACAGTAACTCCACCTGTAATGAGCGAAGAGTATTACGGGATGAGCAGCCCTGGTCTAAATGTCATTTATAGAAGTTCTGTACAGTAACTCCACCTGTAATGAGCGAAGAGTATTAAGGGTTGAGCAGCCCTGGTCTAAACGTCATTTATAGAAGTTCTGTACAGTAATTCCACCTGTAATGAGCGAAGAGTATTACGGGTTGAGCAGCCCTGGTCTAAACGTCATTTATAGAAGTTCTGTACAGTAACTACACCTGTACAGTACCTCCACTACTTGCGATGCGATATTTTATTTTAGGCAGTCCGCTTAAAAGTAAGAGTGTAATCCAAATTTATTAAAACATTAATAACATGTTAAAGATGTCAAAAATAATGTCTGCCTGTTTGTTTGTCTGCCAGTAAATCTGATACTTTGTCGGTATCTCTGCCCAATATTAATGTAATCTGCCTAATATATAATATAAGTATATATATATATAATATAAGTATCTCTCAATTTTAAACTAATCGTATGAATCTTTTCATAGGGATTCGTTGGGATCACAGGTAGTAATAAATGTAGTTGACCCGCATAAAATATCTTTCGAAAATTAATTTATTGATAATTATATGTGAATTGGATTTCAACTCAAAAAACAGATTTCTTGTTGTTTTCCGCTCATCTTCATCACCATGAATTAAGAAAAGCAGACATGTCCATGACTATAATTTGCATGACACTGGTCGATAGTTTTTTAGCATCATCAATTATTTAAAATGAGTTTGCGAACATCGTGAAAATGACATACCATACAGTCCATAACTCGAAGTACCATTTTATAAAGAAAAGGTTCGACTTATAGAGACTTCGAGTTAGAGAATGTTTTTATTATCACATTTTAAGATATTTATTTATAATCAAATACAGCTCAGAAGTTGTAGTCAAGTAAAATATTCAGAGAGTAAGGTTCAGGATTTTAATTTTTTTTTTTATTTTCAGTAAAAAGAGATTCCACTATATTCAAAGCCTTATAGTGATCATCAGTTGTGATATCATTCATTTGCAAGTAAAAAGACAGGATTCTGAATGAGTCTTCTACTTCATTTATAAAATGTTGATGAATAATTTTATCCACAAAAAAGCAACATAAAAAAGATGAAATTACACATTTGGTTTGGGAAATGGGACTTCCCCTAACACCAAAATGCATTCATACCAAAAACAAAAATTCGACTTATAGAATGCACTGTCCCATATTCCTATTAGCACGTGACAATATGTTCATTCGAGTTATAGACAAATTCGAGTTATAGAAGTTCGAGTTATGGAAGCAGAATTGTATGTACTTTGCTCTCTAAAACTCTGTTGCACTCTTTTAAGTTCAAGTTATAGAAAATTCGAGTTATGGAAGTTTGACTTTAATTGTATCTTAAATGAAGATACGTATCCTGAAGAATACGTTGTATCAGCTATTTTGCAATAAATACACAATATACATTCTTCACGCAATTGATACTGTTAATCAATACAATTAATACAGCCACATTCTATGTGACTGCCCAGCTTTGATCTGGGCCAGGAGGAGATCACTGGGTCGGGAATTGCTTATTGCTTGTACCTTCCGACATTAGGAGGTCCTCAACAACCGACATTTTGGGCTTCATTCGAAAGGCGGAATGTCTTTTGTTCAGTTAGGGTCTGTTGTAGCACAAAAGATCAATCATGGTCGCGGTGCTCTGCTCAAATGGGAGCTTGTACCCTGTTCTTTCTTATTCTTATAACATATTCGTTAATGAGAACAAACTTCCTTATACCAGTAGGAACACACTTGAGCTCATAGTTCATGTTATCACGAATCTACTGTAAAAAAAAAGTAAGGCTAAGGGCTTTAATAACTTAAAATGCTATATTGAAGTTATTATTCATCGTAATGGCAATACAAATATTTAGTTTGAAAATTAAATATTTGCAACAACAAAAGTATTAATTATTGTTCATGTTCCTTTAATTCATATTAAAAGACCCCTTAAAAATGACTACTGAGTAGACGTGATATTTTGTCCTATGAGCACGCAAGTGCACGTAATAGCATGCAATGCAAAAGAAAAGGTCAATGAAATACACTTAGTTTAAGTTGAATTGGGAGTGTATAACTTCTAATAATTTTGTTTAAATAAAATGTAAATGTAAATAAATAATCCTACAATTTCATTTAATATTGTTACTTTTCAGTTTTGATGTTTGAAGTAACAATGAATCGATTCGAATTTATTTTCATTATACAGAAAATTGTACGCAATTCTGACATGATACATAATTATTATCTATTTTTTTTTTTTTTGAAATCTACAGGAAAGGAAAGCATGTTAAAAAATCTATTTACAAAATTAATAGGTAAAGTCCTTTAAGCAAACTATTGCAGTGATTTGCATAATATGCCTATTGCGTAAAAAATTTACTGGGGTAGTGCAGTACTACAGTACTCCATGTTGGGTTTATAGCGTGTTTTACGAAATAATGGCCCAATAATGGAACGAGTAGAATATAAAAAATATATTCATGATACTCTATGTGTGGTTTATGCATATAATATGATAGACCAATTATCCATTCTACTTCAAATGCAAATTGAAGGGAATGAATTAGCGGATGAGATGGCCAGAGAAGAGGTTCTGAAGTCCATATAAAGGAGGTCGACATTTAGTACAAACACGCGGTGACTAATAATTTATGTGTTAACCGCGAAGACTTTAGATTGGACAAAAATAAAACGAAAAGTGTTTTGGGCATCAGCAAACCTGCAGTTTGTGTACTTACTGGAGTACTAACGGCGCATTGTGCCATTGCGCCTTTGCTACAACGATGTCGAGTTCCAATTAGTGGATTATGCAGAAGATGATATGATCTATCAACCACTTCATGTGTCTCTGCACAGGACCGAGACAAGGCGACTTCAATGTCGTGGGATCGCTTTTTCACTGGAGATATTGAAAGCAAACTTATCGGATCACCTCAACTTCATCTGGAAAACCAAATGGTTTAACAAGGATAGTACACGAAGATAACAAAGATTAGCAACTCGTCTCTTCCGGCAAAATCTTTGAGAGCATCACAATGGGCAATAAATATTTTTGATTGGAAATGCTGATAACTGTTAGTACGCGCTTTCTCAAACTAACCTAAGGTCTAGTACTAACATTCATTTCGTACGAAAATTGACCTAAAACTATATATAAATGTTTATCAAGTCAAAATTTTGTAGAACATATTTGCTGTTTATATCGATTTAATAATTGATAAACAAAATTTTTAATAGTTTATTGGAAACAAACAATTTCAAATAATTGAGAAATAAAATTTATGTAATGTTCAAAAAAAAGATGTTAACAAAAGAAAATAAGATACAAAATTGAAGAAAACTTTCTGAACAATTAAAAATGGAAAATTTGATTTAAAAATATTTTTTTTTTAATTTTAGAAAATCCGTTTAATATAAACAAAAAAATAATACACGTCCACTTTCGATATTTATGAATTAGTGGTTACAACCTCCCAGAAAATAGCTGCTCTTAAATTAAATTGCGCTCTTAAATTACAACATAAATGAAATATAGTATATTATTTTGTTTGATTTTCGATATATAAATAAAAATAATATTTTAATTTAAATAAAAAATAATTAATTTGAATTTTATAAACAAAAATTTTTAAAAATAAATAATGTCTTAATTAAAAATCACGACCTTATAAGCTAAAAATTAACACGAGTAGATATTTAACACTTTAATAAGGAATAGGTCACGAATACCGAAATTTCATATAATGGAAATAACAAAAATAACTAAAAACAAATGAAGTCAATAATTCTAAGTTATATTTATATCTTAATTATATTAGGAACAGAAACTTCATATAAAAAAAATTACAACAAAAAAATAACTTTCGAACGCATCTCTTTAAAAAATTTATTATATATAAAACTATTTTAAAAATGTTATAATGTAAAGAATTTATAGTGAATTAAAAATTTATAGATCTTTCATCTATTTACGGATGAATACTAAGTGGAATGATAATTACCTGACTTTACAACAGGTGACAACGTCAGAACAAAATCAATTATATTTTGTATATATAAAAGGGGACTATATTGAAGCATAATACATAATTTTTCAAAAAAAATGTCATTCTATTACTTAGTTCAGATATTTATCCATACACCCTTTATGCCAAAA